TAATATTGACACAATGATTGAGATACTAAACAGAGAACTGCTGAGAATTTATGATAAACACGCACCGATTCGTCCTGTCCGTGTTAAACATGCTCCTGCGCCTTGGCTTACTCCCATTATTAGGAGATGTATGGCCAAACGTGACAGGGCTAAAAGTCGATACAAGCACGAGAGATCACAAGTTAACTTTGATATTTACAAAAAGCTCCGCAACATCTGCAACAGAATGTGTAGGGATGCTAAACGCCGATATATTCATTCTACTATATTAAACCTTAATCAGGTTCAAGTATGGAAATTTCTCCAATCGCTGGGTGTTGGCAAGTCCTCTGAATCTTGTCAGAGTGATTTGGATCTCAATGCGTTAAATAAGCACTTTTCTTCTTCTCCTATTACTCTCAGTAGTCTGACCAAAGCTAATTCACTCTCATTTCTTTCGAATCTTGCCCCACCCGATTGCCCTTCATTTATTTTCAGTGCCGTCACCGCAAATGCTGTTGGGAAGTGCATTCATTCCCTTTCCACTAAAGCCATTGGTAGTGACAACATTAGTCTCAATATGATCATTCCTGTGTTGGAGGACATTTTGCCTGTGCTCACTCACATTATTAATTTTTCACTCGGGCACAGTGTCTTTCCATCACAGTGGAAAAAGGCTTTTGTCATTCCGCTTCCTAAATCCACCAATCCAAAATGCTTCTCCCAATTTCGCCCCATATCCATTCTTCCATTACTATCCAAAGTTCTCGAATCAATTGTCCACAATCAGCTATACAAATTCCTTTCCACCCATAATCTGTTATGTCCGTTCCAGTCAGGCTTCCGTCCCTCCCACAGCACTACCGGGGCACTCCTCAATATTACCGAGGATATACGACAGGCTATGGATGACACTAAATTGACTGCTATTATTTTATTAGATTTTAGCAGTGCGTTCAATTCTGTCGATTATGACATTCTCCTTGGTACCCTCCGTGCCGTTAATATCTCTAGTTCTGTTATAGAATGGTTCTCCTCTTTTCTTTTCGGTCGCCAGCAATGTATTAAGATTAATGAGGGTTCCTCTGACTGGATTACTTTAACTGCTGGTGTACCTCAAGGCGGTGTACTCTCTCCATTACTTTTTTCTGTGTTTATCAACAATATTTCTCGAGCCATTACTTCTCCCTTCCATCTGTATGCGGATGACTTGCAATTGTATCGTCACTGCTCATTGTTAGAGGTGACACAAACAATTGCTGCTTTAAATTGTGATCTCTTGGCTATTCAATCGTGGGCCAGTTCGTTTGGCCTCATTGTTAATCCGTCTAAATCTCAAGCTATGATAATTGGTAGTAGCAGACTAAGGTGTAAGGTGAATTGGTCTGTAGTACCTCCACTTGTTTATGAGGGTGTTCAGATAGAATATGCGGATAGGGTAAGAAACTTGGGTATAATTTTGGACAGCACAATGTCATGGACTTCTCATATAAATGATATTAGTAGACGGACACACTTTTCATATCACTCTCTTAAACGTCTCCAATATTTTCTTCCTTTCGGTACCAAAATTATGCTCGCACAATCTATTTTACTTCCCATTTTAGACTATGCCGACGTCTGCTTCTTAGACGTGACTGAGGAGCTCCTTAATAAACTAGAGCGCGTACAAAATTTAGCAATAAGATTCATTTTCAATCTGCGCAAATATGATCATGTTTCCGAATTCCGCGCTCGGTTAAAGTGGCTCCCAATCCGTCAACGACTTAATATGCATATCCTGACCATGTTATTTAATATTCTTAATGATCCCAATTCCCCTTGCTACCTTCGTTCCCGATTCCAATTGTTACCACCTCCCTCGAGACCCAAACGCCTTTGTCGTCACTCAAGGGCACTTAAGCTTCCAAGTTGTAAGTCGCAATTCATGGGTAACTCCTTTTCCTTTCGTGCTGCTCAATTGTGGAATGGACTTCCGTTACGTATTCAGCAGAGCCCGTCTGTTAGTTCCTTCAAGAAAAGATTAAAATCATACTACCTATCTGCCATTGAATGATTACTTTTATCATTATTTATTTGTTTATTATGATGAATATATTTATGTATTATATGATATGTATGTTTATTCCTATATTTTGTATTACTATTTATATTTATGTATATTCGTATTTATGTATTTTACTTTTGTTTTAGATTATACAATTTGTTCTTTGAAATTTATTTAGTATCTATCCTTTGACATTTTTTTTTTTGTTTGCACCAATTATTACCCACTCATTACCACATATCCCACTGTTTTAGGTTGACTGGAAGAGATCTCTTCTAGGGATAAGTCCACCTTTGCTCACATTGTCTCTAAATTATAATATCTTTTTATTATCTGTGCAATAAAGAATATATATTAAGTTGTTAAAAACTTGCATATGTAGCGTGTGTATCTTTCATATTAAAATATAATAAACATAGGTACTTGGTGCCCGCTTTAATGTGGTATTATTATGTTTTTATTTTTGTTATGAATGTAACTTCAAAAAACTAACACTGATTTTATAATTTTTGATTGATTGAGAAAATACTGAAAATTATTAATTAAAATAAAGTACTAAACAGTAGTATTATTTTTATATTTTATTAGAACTGAATGAATATGATGTATGAATAATATGTTTATTGTGCTAATAAGGTTACAGTTTAGTTACTTTCATGTAAATTCATTCATGTAAGTTCATGAATGAATAAATGTAACATAGGTATATGATATTGTTTTCAGTATTTCCTGACATCAACAACTTAATACTGAACAAAGTTTAAACAAATAAGAGATGATATTCTAAATCTCCTAGTCATTCAGATGAAGATAAATAACATTTTTACTGTGAAGAACAGGAGTTCAAAAGAATAAGAAATATATATGTATATATATATGAACATTTTACTGTATAAAATAAAAATGCAAGTAAAAATAAGAGAAAAAAGCAGAAGAAAAATCTGTAAATTATTAATCACAATGCAATTAATAATATAATTAAATAAGTAAGAAAGCAATGGACTAGTGATGAGAAGAAATTCCAAGTAATTATATTATGTGTAACCGACTGCAAATAAGTTTATGATTTAAACACATGATTATTATTATATTGCTTCATCAACAAATCCAGGAATATTTTGTGTACCAGGAATTAATTATGAAATGATTGGAATATAATATAAAAATAACAGAAGTGTTTGAAGTTTTAGTGGTATAACAGACAAGCAGTGAAAGAAATATTATTGTAAATTATTAACAATTGTTTATTCTGTGATTAATAAATTATTTAAAAGTGTTTTGTTACCTGAAATAAAAATTTTATGATCTTCAAGTGTTGTGTTCATGCAATGTTAGTTTCACCTCATTCGATTTAAAATGTCAGGAATTATTTACTACATAATGATTTTGTATTAGATGGTAATCTTATATATTTTTTAATGCAATGTGTATAATAATTCCCATTTACATCAAAAAACTTTGTGTAAATCTATATTTCTCTGTCTATAGACTTTGGTCGTGGAATACTAATAAGAAACTAAATCTAGAGACTGTAGTATATCACAGCATCCCAGAACCTTGTATTTCATGACTTAGTACCTACCTAATACTTGCTACTTTTTTAATCAATTAATTAATTTGATCTCAATCATCATGATGAACAATGATGATAATGTTGAGAATACTGCCAATGATGAATTTTATGGTGGTCATAAATAAATACCATCGTCACTATCGTCAACAGTCATTATTGATCTCATCATCATCACCGTTACCCTCCCTCATCCATATTGTCAAAAGTTACTACCTACTATTATTAACTGAAATGGTAAATAAGCTGACGATCCATCCAACCACGTCGCTATCCGACGTACATACATACACATATATTATTAAACAGCATTACGTCATCATGTCGTGCCCGCTATATCCCGCATACATTATCATTCCGGAGAACATAGATGTTATGTCCAAATATCCTGTGTTATGTCCCAAATTTCGCAGCTTAATTTCAACTGAATAACAACTTACATAAATACCAAAAAACTAGCAGTAAAGGCGTAGTTTGTAGATACGGAAGGTTCTACAAATAGGTATAACATCAAAATAAGTACCTACATGTCATTAGCACCGATGTAGTATCCCTGAAAGAACCTATACATGTAACAGATTGATGGTTTGCAGATATTATTTTCAGTTTTACAAATTGCCAGTTTACCATAATTAACTATATATTGAGAAATAATTATACACTGAAAATTATATGAGGTACCCATATGCACATCAATTGATTATAGCTAAAATCTATCACTATCACATAACAATTTAAATAAAAAAAACCGTATTAAAATCGGGCTATTCGTTAAGGAGCTATTGCTCCTTAACCGATAGCCCGATTTTAGTGCAGACGCGTTACGACATATCTTCGTCGGGAGAAAAAAAGTAGGCATGTAAAAAAGTAACTGTAACATAGTACATAGATACATAGGTACATTAGCCGTGTCTGGAGACTGTCAGCGAACAATATTATACCTACATTGAATTTTCGATTGTACCCAATCAGGAGTTCGATACAGTTATATATCTATTATGTACGTATCTTTGCAAAACAGATGTCATGTAGACCGAATTCTCTGCCATCTATTTTCATGCTTTATTACTAATCACCCACTAGTAATCCGAACTGCTTCAGATATAGCGACATCTAGCGCCTACGGCGGCGAAATAAAATAGCCCGAAGAATAGCCCAAGTTAGGAAGGAACCATTTTCTTGTATGGGATGGGGTATCTGTATGTAATATTATATTATCTGTGGTTTTACTAAGTATTCAGTTTTTATTGACATAAATATTATGACAACTGACAACAAAATGTGGATAGGACAGTTTATTATTTTCTCTATTTTTTCTATATAATCATAATTTTTCTCTATAATTTAGAGTGATAAATTGAATATTGATATATTAAAGTGTTCGAAACTAATTTCAATACAAACCATGTGCATGGATTTCCTAGAAGGTGAGGTGAGAGCCAAACATTGGTTGCATGTATAATAAGAGCACCCAGTCCTTGTTTGGATGTATCATAAAACCAAATTAGCCAAGGCCTTCTAGCATATCGAGGCTCACAAAACCTTTTACCTGAAAATATTAAATATAAAATGAACTTTTTTACTCAAAATTAAGAGTTTAAGCAGTTATATTAGAATGATCTATTAAAATTACTTTCAAGAAGTTTAAATCTTAAACTAACTAAAAAGAACTTTCAAATCTATACATTGCCTTGGATTATGATAGAGTATGTCGCAATAACTAAGTACTAACCAATTAAACAAGTGAATGCTAACACAGCCAACAAGAACTGCATGAACCATCCATAATAGTCTGTGAGTGCACCTTTAGAACAATGTAACTCTGACCAATTAATATAATCCGAACTATTGTTATTCATCTTTCATGATAACATCAAACAACGTTGAAATAAATATATACAACACTTTCAAATATCACAATGAACAGGACAAGTTACTTTATGTATCTGAAAATTCCTGGAGGTTTATGGTTTATAAAGTACACTTATTACATTGTATTGTAGAAGACTATTAAGGATTCTGCTTTTATTTGGAATAATAAAAGTGGATTTTCTAATTTAATTTGACGGTATATTTTTGTTGGTTACAGGTTAATTGACTTACAGCCACAGATTAAGTATGACACTACCTATTATTCTCATTCCTATCTGTCAATCCAATACATCATTCTCTATATGTCAATCGTATTATTAATTTTAAATGAAAATAATTTCTTTATGAGACATTCAGGCTAAGGGATTCTATCTCCTTTCCACTACCTGCCAGCATATAGTTGAATTGTTGTAGTAGATAAGAAGAGGTAACGGTAATTATTTAATTCATTTCACTATAATAATAATAATAATAATCTCAGGACAATTCACACAGCGCCCTCTAGACCCAAATTAAGCTAGCTAAAGTTTGTGTTATGAGAAAAATATATGCTAGATAAATGATAAAAATACATAGACATATTTTTTTACGTAATTACATAAATATTATACATAGAAAACACCCAAACCGATACAAACAATTATATTCAAGAATACAAATGTTTGTGCCATGCGAGGAATCAAATCTGCGACCATCGAAGTAAAGCAGTGTGCTAAACCGCTAGATCAACATGGAATGGCCTTTTAAATTTATATAATATCATAAACGATAGTTTTTAATAAATTTATTTTAAATACTCTTATGATAGTTATAATTGTAATGGTATAACACAGACTTCAAATATTAAATATATTGAATTCACTGTAAAGCCATTAAACTGTCCGCTGCATTTAATGTATATTCTGACTCAATAAGTAAAATATATTAAGTTCATACTGGCGACATTCTGCAGAAACTACCAAACATCTTGATAATTACTACTACTTGTAACCTGCCGCCATTTTTTTCTATTTTATTGTCTAATCTTAACTTTGTCTTTAAAATAAGCCAAAGAAAATAATTTGCTTTTCATTTTAGCAGTGTAAAATAAAATAAAAGTCTAGTAATATCGGTAAGTACAACTTCAGTTTGTTATACTAGTATCTATAGTTACTTATTATGGAAGTGAGTATATATGTATGGTAAACCATGATATCGATTAATTCAGCCGGTTACATTTTAATAGTTGTTATAACATTCATTGTAGTATGAAGTCTACTATTAAATATTTCTCTGCCATTATAATGTTATATGTAATTATAAGTCCGTTTTCCTTTCTTTTTCCTGCAAAAGTACGATAAAACATTTCGAAAAAGTATACATTTCCATTCAGTACATGTTGTATTGAGATCATAACATAATTTTATTTTTATGTATATTAATTTCTGCTCCTGTCTTCTTCCGAATGACCATGTCCGTTATTTATTACAAGAAACCTCTCTCGAAACAGTCTCATCCGTCCTGTCCAATTTCATGTTTGGTTATGTGCCGTTATAGAGTAACAAACAAACTCATTAATACATGTGTAATTTATTAATAATTAATATGCACTTTAAAACTTATAGAACTCAATATTTTGTACAAGACCCAACGCCATGGTCAAGTAGATTTTTAATCAGATTTTAACACGTGTTGTTTCTCTATTAAATTAGTAAAGTTTAAAATGATTAGAATGTTGCGAATATGGTTACTTATTATTAATATTAGTTTGCCTATCTGCAATACATATCCATCAAAATAAACAAATAATATCAAATATGTATGAAAGATGTGTTTTAGTAGGGCAGAAATATTTGTCAAATTATTTTGTCATGTCTGTAAGACTTGGGTACTACTTTTACATTCATGGGTAGATTATTTAGATGTTCATCATAACAGTCCTGTAAAAACAATTGAATAATGATAGAAAATAATAGTATTTCTTACTACTGTTTTATTGTTATATGTGTTGGGGCCCTTGCACTAAGATACATAATAGAAGGCCACTGGGGATGTATGAAAGAATGATGAAATCAAATTATTAAGTTTATCATGGTGAATTCATGAAAAGTTAACCACAATGGTTTCCATAAAAGCATTGTAGTGTTCAACATAATAGAAACTACCCCCCTTATCAAAAACCATATCTCAAGAGATGATTCACTTTGTAAAAAGAAAAAATATTATTAATAAATATGTAGCCATTCATTAAGAGTAAGGTGTCATACCTCTGTACCATGCAATCACATTACAATATATTAAAAATGTAATACAACATGCAAAAGTGATGCCACAGAGTACAATTCCATTAGACAGATGTGATGACCCACACTTCATAGTAATAATTTACCTTATCTGTACCAATATTATGGGAATAAATAATATAATTTAATTCCTCATCATAATTTACCTATCTTAAAAAAATGTTTCTAATAAAAATTATAAAGCCATGAGTACATAATCAAGTGGTATTAAGGAAATACCTAGTATGACTTACCTAGGAGTATGTTGCCATGCCCAGTGAGTGTACTATCTGTCTTATATTTAAATTATTTAATATCTAAGCAATTGTAAAACTTAAGTTGTGAAATGATTCTTTTCATGATCGGCTTTACATCAGTTATGCTGTTGATTTTTTTAATATGCTACAAAGTCTTATATTATTTTATAATTGCCCTTGTAATGTATATTCTGCAATTATCTGTAATTATTAGGAATACCACCTGGCTACCATTTGGTTGTATTCATATGGGCCATCTGTCCACTTTATCCATTTTATATGTTACTTTAGTGGCAAAAAAATTATAACTCACCGGATGGAAAGTAGAAAATGTCACCTATGAATATAAAGAGCACCAGAAACGAATGTGCAATATATTATTATTAGTAAAGGTTCTCTTGATGCATAACTGCTAAGGTGATATGCTACTGTATTCAGTAAAATTAGTGATTTTATTTCTATTATTTAGATAAAGAAATAATTTGTGATAAAAACATTGTTCTAAAGAGGTAAATTGTTGTTGACTCTTTAAATTTGGCACAGTGTCACTAGTTGGTGTGGTAGGTATTCATTGAAAATTGCCTCCAATTTTGCTATATATCTAGGTATATATATATACCTAAATCTTGCAGACAATTTGGTCCATTGTATTGATTAGTATGGTTAAGTTTAGATTGCACACTTCCATTCTCACGATTTTTAAGTTTAAAGTACTTATCTAAAACCATTTTGTTTATTATCACAATACTTTTTTTGTGTACATAACACATGTACCAATGTAGCAATGATGTAACAGTAACTGCAACCGTATATCATCATGCAAGTACGAAATTTGCGGACGAGGACTTTTTCATCCTGTACAAGTTTTTATCAGATTTAGATTTTTACAAAAATCGATCAAAATGTGATGTATTCCTACAATGTCCTAGATCATAGTACAGTTTTTATTCAAATTCACATTTTATTCTTTGTACTAGCCGAAGTTCATGGTTGACAACCCTGATATGTGATGTACCATGTCAGGTCGACCTCCACGCGGTTTGGAAACCATCGTGTTAAATTCCCGGTAAATTTATCACGATGGGCTAACTGACCTGACCTCATGCTCATCTTATCATCCTCCACTGGTGCCCCGCCAGCGTAAACCGTTAGCGCAGGCGGGATCACCATTCCATTATCATCCAAAAAAAAAAAAAAACCCTGATATGTGGTCCAATTAATTTTGCTGTGAATTTAACGAAAAGGAATAAACATCCATATAATTATTTACAAACACATTACCGCAAAGTCGCGTAATAGGAACATCCTCGGACGTTAATTAATTTATTGTTTAAAACAGTTTTCCTTCCATCGAAAAACACTCCTGTGTCCAAATTGTGGAGCGTCGAATTCGATTCATATTTATGAAAATATGAAATTAATAAGCGTTCGAATTTCGCTCAAATCATCTTGATTTAGATATCAAATCTAAGCATACTTGTCCTGGCTATGAAACAATCAGTGAAGAGCCAAACGCAAGTCTATAAACACTCGTAGCAATACCAGCTGCCTATCACAAAATTTTTAACTTTGGAAACCAAAGACGTTTTTATGTATTCCAGTTGCATTTCAGTATTTAAAAGTTGTTTCAAGCACATTATATTTATTACATGTCATGAGTATCTCTATGGAACTCTACTAATGGTAGTTCGTCACGTTATCTGGTTCTTTATATATTGATCAGCCGAAGTTAGTTGCATATGCCTACTTATAATAATGATCTATCTATCTATATGTTTTAACAAAAACGCGTTTTCAATAAATATATAATCACTAACTGACATCGCAAACGTTGTTTTGCCATATTAATTAAAATCGCTATAAAAATAGGGGTTGGTGGTAGAAGGTTGAAAAAGGCTGTAAGTATGTATTTTTAATGCCAAATCATAATACAAAAAATTTTTGAAAAATAATGGACAATCATAATACAATAACTAGAATATTATATATAAATTGTAGATGTCAATATATTTGCAAATGAATTAGTGGTATAAAGTGTAGACTTATTTCAATATCGAATAACAGAATCAAGACGAAACAGAATAAATCGAATAACAAATCAAAGAACACAAAATTTGGAATTAATAAATAGCTAGAATAAATTTCCAGATTATAATAAGTTGGAAAATTCTGTATCCTATATCATTGGATCGGAATTACTGTTCAGAGTAGACCGGCTAATCACGATTCAATGTGCATAGGCTTTTGTATGCATGCATTATTAAATTGTCGTTCAGATTGACTATATGAAAATAATGCAATCTCGAAACGCTGTTGTAAAGAAACATCCAATCAATATTTGTGAGTTTTTAAAAAGTTGAACTATTTTATTCAATAACCCTTCAAAGTTAGCTGTCTATAGGGACATTAAATAGAACCATGTTATTTATTGCATCGCGTGCGAGCTCCGGACTTATGACTGCTTTTACGGTGTCCGCCATTTAATTTGTACGTACATGCAATACACACTACATAGCCATTACATGCGGACTGTTGGAGAAAAACGGGAATCTAATTGTCTCCTCATCCTCCCCATGTGAACGGTATCGAGGTGACGTGGTGGTATATTGACCACCAGCCACGCCACCACCGGGGGGTATCCCAGGGGGTGGCGCCGATACTGCCATCGAAAGTAGAACGTAATAATTATCGGTGGTGGGCTGGGGGCCGATGGTCGCGGTTCCCGCGGCTCGACCGTCAACAAACCGTCGCACGGCAACTGCTCATGACATATGCATGAGAGCGGTACGGACGATACCGCCGCTTAAATATACAAGGACGGACGGGGAAATTACTACAGAAGCAAATACATACAAGATGTCTCCCGCCCGACTGACTGCGCCGTCGTAGCGTGTGGCACGCCCACGACTCTACAATTACACTCACGAAACGTCCAACCGATACCTTTCTTACAATTCCTAACTATTTTTGCCTGTTAACCACCACCTAATCTTTTAAAAGTCATGAAGACAACCCCCGGTACAATGTTAAAAAGAACAATTGTGAATTGTTTTTGATTTCTTTGTACCCTCACACGCAAATGTTAAACACTTGATTGGGGTGTAAATTCCGTATGCAATACAATTTTCTTGTAACCTCTTCATAAAAGACTGCATGCTCTTTGTTGTATTCTGTATTATGAATACAATTAATATTTGCTTAGCAATTCTTATATGGTACTATCCCTGAGACATTGGCACATGAGGATGCCAATTGAGAAAAACATGTTGGTGTTGTTTGAGCCTGATTGTACTCCTTCGAACGTTCTAACAATTTAGAGCATAAAGAGCCACCCGATAGTACTAGTACGGAATTATTCACGTAATATTTAAGCAGTTCTCATAAATATTTATTTGGCCGAATACGGTACACAAAACGGATATAAATACTTCAAAATAGTACTTACGTAGTAATAGTATTGCCGTATTCCAGACTAATATTGGGCTGGTGGTTAGATGTAAAGTTTGTGTATCTGGAGAGAGCACAATAGATCGGTGCGACCAATTTAGTGCTTACTTAGGTCATCCGTAGACTTTCCTTTACTAAAGTTCATG